GGGGGGTGAACAGAGTAGTGTTTCAAAGATGTAAGAGACAAACACAAACTTAGAAAAAAGGTAAGAAGAGTACTGTGGAAGTAGTCGAATATGGCATAGAGTGAGGTGGTAGTAGTTTGAAGTGAGAAGTCAATTGCCAGTTAATAGACTTTTTTGCCGTATGAATGTACGTTGCCCAGGGAGCACCACGTGGAGGTAAGTCTATCACACACCCCAGTGCATCAATATAGGCTGATATGAAAATACTCCAGTCCTGCCTCATTTTCGTAGATCTGACAGGACATATCCATCAAAATGTTTCTGTCACATAGACGATCAAACTCCTTCCCCCTCATCACCCCCTTCCAAAACCGCTGATATTCATTCATACAATGGCAGGTAATTTAACTTTCCAACCATATCCGCATTTATACCACTCCACCTGGTAACTTCTTAGGCTATTGTGACTCATACTTCAAAATTGCTGTATCTGCCTTTGTATCTCTTTACCAAATTATGAACACATCTAACCCCACCCCATCAACTAGCTTCGTGTCCTAATGTATAAACACATATATAATAATTCATATCCACCTCTCTGTCCACCACCACGACAACTTCAAGCACTCTCTTAAATAGCATGGTATAGTCTCAACAAACTTCTTGCATTTCAACGTACATTCCTTTTCGGACAGTGATTATGACTAGATAAGGGGGTGGCTGTGGAGGATTGGTTGACGTGAGCCAAACCAAATTTGGAAAAAACAAGGTCGTTATATATGTGCTGAAAATCCATTTTATGAGAGTAGAGCTTTTCACCAAGGGCGGCATTGATAAGCACATTTTTCTCCCTCTAGAACCAAGTCCTTTTAATAATCAATTAACGATGACTTAGAATGCTAACAATGAAGAGGTAAGAAAGGTACAAAAACATTTTAATACTATTTCAACTAGTAAATCAAAAAAAATATAATCCAACCTTCCTTTGGAATAACTTATAAGACTTCACAGATTTTGTGATTACCCAATGGAAACAGGATTGCTCTTTTAAGACCTCTACCGTTACCCAATTACCTTTTAAAAATAAACAAATAGATTGAAAACAAAAATTTTATTTTCTTTACTTACTAATCAATATTCGGTTATCAGGTGGATTGGTCCTAAAACAAGTATGCAGCCGTTGAGCTGTCAAGACGTTGGTATCCTGAAATAGAGTTGCTTCTCAAAAAAGTTTGAGTTAAATTCACCACTATTGTCTTTAATAGTAATAATAATAATAATAATTAGGGGGATCTAAATGGTCTTTTGTTACGAAAACCACATAAATGTTAAAACACGTACGTAGACTAGTGTGTCTGTGAGCCGGGAAGATAAGTCACGTGAGTGACAAAATAATTGAAACCATGGGAATATAAAAGGTGCATCCAAAGTGGGATTGAGCGTCATGAACCCAACAACTTTCCACCTTTGAAATACCATCGCTTACCACCAAAGAGGCATGTATAATCCGCTCCCATGTAATTTAGAATTAGGAACAAAAGGGGGTTGAAGAAAACAGACCTTCTAACGAGATAATTTGAAAGGATTCGCTTTAATTTTAATGTCAACATTGCAGATAACACTCGGGGATGTAACGCCCTAACCAACCACAACATGAATTTTGAAGTTCCTTGTCGATCGTAAGGCATGTGTAACATTGATTTCTTCCGCGTCAGAGTTCGCAAACCACTGGTAGCCTTACTTTGTGCTGTAAAAACGGGGTTCACGCTCTTAGAGATTGGAATCGAGTTTAACGCTTATTTCAGTTATGTTAGATAGGTTAAGTTAATGATTTGCTAGGCGTCTTGATTGGTTTGTCCAAGCCATAATTTCGTGTGGGCTTTCTGTCCACTCGTAGTTGGATCTTCATGACTCATGAGAAGTTTTGGGTTAAGGGAATTAGGTGAACTTTAGCTAACGAGTATACTACTTAAGTAGTGTTATGGCCTTCATTTTCACTTTTAGCCTCCTTTGGGCATAAGTAAAACAAGCGGCTCAAATCAGAACACTTTTTAACAAATTCCTTAAGAGATTGAGGACACTAATAACCTCTCTTTATAAGTCTTTGGAAATAATTTTTCCTTATACAATCCATCAATTTGCTATGGGCTTAAATCATTTTACATTGTATAACACAACAGGTCTACCTTCAAATTTTCATATAAAAATGAAAACTAGATAAAATATCAAACAGGTGTCCCCATACAATGGAGTGTGATCCATCCACTTTGAAAGTTGCTAGAAAATAAAATCACAATTTAGCTGCCAACTCTACCGCCATATTTCAGATTTGGGGGTGGGGGAGGGGGGGGGGAAAGAAAGGAGGGGTGGAAGAGGAAATATTTGTACCTTTTGCGGTCCACCCCTTCTCCGCTCTCTCTCTCTCTCTCTCTCTCTCTCTAGCATTCTATTGTTCATATTTCCGCCGTCCGCCAGATGTTTTGCGACGCACGTGGAAGAACACTGCGTGCCTCAAACCCCCCCCCCATTCGACCCCTTAAGTCGATCGGTATTTAACATTTTGCGTACACAGAGGTAATGTAAAATTAGTCGAAGCGGGGAGGGGTTAAAGCAAGCGTGATTAAGAATGCTACTGTGCGCAGGAATGTAAGCGAAAGTGTGTTTACGTGGGTGTATTAATTGTGAATAATTCGATTTTAACCACCGCCAACACCCCTCTATTCATCTCAAGCGGTGTCTTTGTAAACAACGTTTTCTACGAATGAATGATCTATTCACCTAAGGCAATCTCACTTTTATATTGACAATATTTTGGTTTTATTTTGAACAAATGTAAGGTTTCATATTAAACAGTAAAGAGGAAATAGTAAATATCAAAGAACTAGTGTTTTCCTGGATCTCATCAATGGTGAAAATTACTTTCAATCGTTTCAATTATATAAAGTTAATAAATCTGCATCCAGATTTTCAATGTGAAAAAAAATGATAAGGCAAACATATTTAACATGAGAAAACCTTGGTGGCAGATGAGTTAATTATTCTAGAGATCAGATAGAACAAGGTTGTTCTGATTCGTCGACTTTCAATTATACAACCCATTTTTTTTCATTTTCTAAAGCAACCTATTGGGTGTTTAAATGTATTTTATTGTTCCTCCGCGGATAGTAATAGTAACTGTACTCATTAAATATGCATTAATAAGCATTTATTTATTCCAAATGGCAGGCTTTATGATAGTTATCATTAGCCCTTTAGTTGACTTAGGTTGTCACAGAGGGGAAGGAACATCTAAGTGAAAAGAGTAGGTTGTCACAGAGCGGGGAAACATTAAAGTCTCAAAAAGTTGAGAGGAGGAGCAGAAGAGCGATATACGAGTGTAAAAGAGGCAGACACAAAGGTATAAAAAAGGCGAGGTGAGTACTGTGGAAGTGTTCGAAGTTGACATACAGTGAGGGTCATGGTAGTTTGAAGTCAGAAGTCAACTGTCGGTTAATAGACTTTTTTGCCTACGTTGCCCAGGATGCACCATGTGGAGGTAAGTCTATCGCACACCACGCATCGACAAGCATAGAACCATAGAAGAGAACGCGATTTAAAATGAAATTGATCGATCACTATACTGATAAAAAGAAGATTAGTAAGTTTCTTTTTTCCGCTCTACCGGCAACGCTGTGGTTAATGGGCTAGTTTATGCAGTTAAAGATCACAGGTTCAGTAATTATCGGGGCAAATCCAGCGTCAGAACGATCATCCTTACTAGTTAAGTGTGGCTATTAAAGGAATAGGCAGATGGGCAATTATCTCTTCATGGAATTTTCCCAAATACTACCATTTTACTCAAATTTCCATATGTAAAAAAGAACTTGTTTTTCTTTTCTTCTACACGAATCTAGCCTTTGGAATAGGATATTTCATTTCTAATTCTTTTCATAAAAAACATTGTGAACGAATTAAAGGTTGGCCAAGCGAAATAGATAACCACATCGATCAAATATTCAAATACGTTTATTCCTTCAAATTAGATATCGTGGAGGTACTGAAATTAGGCCTCTTTAGAAGAGGTAAAGTATCGTTTTGAAAAGGTGAAGATTGAAGTCACCAACGCCTTCCATTGATCAGGGTGAAAATGAACCAACGAGAAAGCTCAAAAGTAACATCTGGTGATTGTGACATTAAGCACCAAGGTTTGACATCGTCTGCAAAAGTGGATGAAACTAATAAGTCGAGTGGCTCTGGAAATGGAACTACTGATTCAACGATAGTGAGACCTGATGCATCAAGTCAACTTGAGAAGGCAAAGGAAGAGGTATGAACTTTACTTGGTGAATTTGATCATTTGGTGCTAGGTGTTCAGTACTTCCAATGCTCAACAGTTAGTATCTTCGGGATACTGACTCGTTGCAAATTAGGTCATTTCTATATCAGATGGAAAGTATCGCAAATGATGTTGGAAATTACATTTTGCCATATTTTAAAATTAATGATTTCATTTTAGCGCCCCTGTTAAAATAGTACATGAATGAAAGACGCAATAAGTTAACTGAACGATTCCGCAACTAATCCAAACAATGGACAAATTTTCGGTGGCATTTAGCCCTACAATTGCCGTTTTCCCGTGTAAATTCGTTTAAAGTAGATAAAGTTATGACTTATTTATGCAAGAACTTCCTAAAATGGTTTCCACGGAAAATCGAACTAGGTGACGATGTCTGAATTTAAATTACGCATAAAAAGGCTAATTATTCTAGGACACTTTGTTTAGAGTGCACATAAGTGATGTAACCTTGGTGAACTAGACGATAACAATAGGAAATCATAAGAGACCAATGCCAAATGTCAAGAATGCCACGCTAATTTCCAAACTAACCAACGTACTACTTAAATTGATGACATCTCTTCGAGGAGGCTTAAGAGCGTACTTAAGAAGTTAATAAATAAAAATAATTTTGATTAATTATTGTCATGTGGTGGTTCAACAGCAAAAGATTGGTTTAATTTTCTCTGATTTTAAATCTTCAAATAATTTTGTTGAGAGGCATCAGAAATCATTGCTGTGGCTTCAGTAAAATGGTTACTGACACTTGTTAAAGGAGGAGTATCTCTAAAAGGAGATTCGAGGATTAGCTAGTGAAGGTCACACTTCACCTTTGGCGGTTCTATAAAAGCAGTGTTCTGGAAACTCATGAATATGCTATTTTAACATAATATTTAAATTCAACTCTTTTACCTATAAAATTATGTAAAAATCAATTTTAAATCCCGCATTACGTCCTAATCGAAAATCACGTTTATTAGTTGAATGACACCATTTGAAAACCACGAAATGAGCGTCGACACTTGACCCTTAACAAACACCTTGGTGGTCACACGTGCCACGGTGATTAACCACACAGAATTTAAGGCAGGTGAACCGACTTAAGCACTATAAAGCTTTCTCCTGCTAAAAAGCATGAAATCCTTCACTTACCATTAAGACTTTAACATTTGAAGGAGAACGAAGAACAAGGAATTTTGCAAAGTTCAAGGCCATGTGATTGCATCTAATTTTACACTTTTGAACAGCATAGAAGTCAAACGTGAACTTCTTCTCGCAAAAGCGAAAGTGCATATGAAAAATGTTGTCGCAGGTATTAGAGTAAATCCATCTGCATTGCCTACCACTTTTCAGATTTAATTAAAACATACTGAAAATTATGCTACCACTCTGTTTTGTATTGAAGTTATCACATACATCAACCGCAATTGGAATGGACATTAATATTGGATTAGCTGGGCAGTGCGCTACACATACGGCCGCATACTTCAGAATGCCCGGGTTCACATTTTATCGCGTGAGGATCGCGCACTCCACGCACTGCTTAAAATGCAACAGATTTGAGTGGAAACATTAAGGGGAAGTCTAGGACAATGTAATACACAAGTATTTGCTTATTCTGAACGATTGTTACAACCTTAAAATTGAAATTGGGAGTGTACGATAGACTTACTTCCACGTGGTACACCCTGGGCAACGTATACTCATACAGCAAAAAAGTCTATCAACCGGTAGTTGACTTCTGAATTGAAACTATCATCACCCCACTGCATGTCATACTCTATCACAGTACTCACCTCACCTTATCTTTTCTCTAACTTTGTGTCTGTCTCTTTTACATCTGTGAACCACTCTTCTCCCCCCCCCTCTCGAATTTTCTCACTATGATGTTCCCCCCCCCCTCTGTAAAGTCCGAAGCCAGCTAAAGGGCTAATGATAACTATCAAAACGCCTGCTATTTGAAATAAATAAAAATTGAAATTGAGTTTGAGCAAAAGCAATAATGAAGCAGTTCAGTTTGGGGTATAGACAATTTAAGTAGAGAAAAATTTAAAGTCAAGATATCCAAGGAGTCTAACCGTACTCGATCATGTCATATAGCTTTTCATTTATCAATAAGAGTTTCTTGCTTCATGCTTTAATCTTTTTATGACCAAAATCAATTATTTGTGCCTTTAATAAAGACCATGGTCAATTTATTGATTTATTCCGTTGACTATTCTTTTAAAAGTCGAAACGATTGCAGGGCGTTAGAGGTCAATATAATTTCAGCGAGTAAGTTCACCGGCGAGGCCACCAAAAGGGTCATATTTCAGAACTCGTAGTTTAATGTTCTAAAGTCCTCAAAATCTATGAGTGAACTGTTATCCACCATTTCAAACATTTTATTCAATTCTAGTATTCTAACTACCAACGAACCAATATTGCCCAATTTATGTTGGAGGTTACCAATGATGAATTGTTGCAATAGCCCAGACAACGATACTACTTTGTATTAAAGCAACTAATAAAAAGGTATTTTTTGTAAATATTTCCTTCTTCGTTGGAAAACGGCATTGCTTCGAACAAAAGTAAACGCCACTGAAATTAAATTCCTGCACACTATTTGCAATTAGTCCTAGAATTTTTTGTTCTACTAAATTCGAAGGCTATATTTCGATTCCCACATTAAATATAAGTTCCTCTCTCCTCGTATATGAATGCCCTTGTTCTCCTTAAGAAAGTTGTTTTCTGGGTCAATTCCAAACTCCCCAAAGTTGGGAATCAGGTCATAATGGGAAGGTAAGAGAGGTACAGAGGGCAAAATTAGGCTGAAAGGGGGGGGGGTGGGGAGGTAGGGGTAATTCCTCCATTTGTTTTAATAAAGCCTCAAGGTAGGACACGCGACACTTGGCGTGGATTTAACACACAAATAACAAGCTTGTCAAACTTCTCGGGAAAATTATTGACAGCAGGAGAAGGAGGTATATGTCCACCATGTATTTCCCATCCTGAAAACAGGGCGCAGTATAGAACAGGTTCAATTGAAGGAATGAATAATATGGAAAGGGAAGAGGCAGGTCATGGGTTCAATGTTCAGCAGAATGAAAGTTTTGTTTCTCACTCGGCCTTCTTCACGAAGCCACACTCTACCTAACCTTAGTGTTGGAAAAGGATTCCCTTAACCCCCCTGGGCGTCATTATCAAAATTCGCATTGAAGAGGATGGAGGTAATTTGTCATATGGATGTAACTTTAAGCCAAGTAATGACCCCAAATATTTTGTTCGCTGAATACCCTTTTCAGCTGAGATCTTATTTGAATTGTTGGAAAACTATTTTCAAGCAGTTTCAACATGCGCATCAAAGATGTGCTAGCGGAACCTTCAAATAGTCTTATTGCGAATGTGGGAAATTAGAAGGACATTATTCTTTGATTATTATTCCCCTAACATTTAAGAGTATTTTCCATATTTCCAGAAATTCAGTTTGCTCATCTCAAAAGTGGTAAAAACTTTGGTTAATGTTGGTCTTAAAATGTCTGGAATTGGATGTTTGGGATTTACAACATATTCTCACAAAAGTATTTTGAAAAACGTTGCCAAAAGGGGTCAAGAATTTGTGATTAAAAATGTTGAAATTTCTCGCTTGATAAATTATGTTTTTAATGTGGAAATACTAAAGGTGGAACTCTGCTAATTGGAAAGGAAAGCAATTATTACTCCAAGTTACCTGTCGATTACAATTTTTACATAAGTAGAAAAGGATGACTGAGGTTTCGCTAAATTGTCATCAGGTTCAAAAATGTCACAATTGAAACACCACAACTTATCTCCTAGTTGTCTAATTGTAATCTAATTGATGAATTCCAGTTTTAAATTAAGTTAAAATATATGCAAAATGAGTTGAAAACCAATAAAATGATTAATTTGTGATATATATATATATATATATATATATATATATATATATTTGAATCAAATAAAGATTACTTAAAACGGAAGCAATAACTATTTATCTGGTTCCTGTCACAAGCGAATTTTATTATTTACCAAACGGTGCATAAATTAGGAAGGTAGGGCGGTTGAGAGGGGACAAACATTCCTCACCATGGAATAATCGAGGTCCCCGGAAGTAAAAAAAGGTGTCATTAGTTCGATGAGTGAGGGAGTGGCGTCGATAATTTATCTTGCGGAGGTTTCAGTACCAGATGCTACGTGGAGTTGGATATCCGGATGATCTGCAGTTCTGCAGCTGTTTTTCTCTCACCTATCACCCTCTCGAACAAAGTTTGCATTTCCTGTTTATATTCCACAGATCCTGCGATAACAAATCTGTGTGCCTTTGGGGGCAAGGAAGGGGTGATGTGATTTGGGAACAATTCGATTATTATAAAGAGAATATATTGGCGTGCACTTTTGTACATTCACCGAATGCGCATTCAAAAGTAGGGATATTCAAAAGGATCGAGTCACCGTACGCTTCGGCTGAGAGAGCAGTATCGAATGGTCTTAGCCACCGAGAAATATCAGAACATCTAGCGTTTGCAAAAAATGCCACCCAAGATTTCCAAAACCCCATTCTTAGGTAACGAGAAGTATAAGAATAATTCAGTTAGAGATTAAATTATGGAAGGGGCCGGCCGAAAGCATATATTAATGTACTTTCTTCGAATAAATGAATAAATTATAGTACTAAATGATGCCATAATTGAATAAACTAAACTTTAGATCCAGAAGCACAATCGCCAAGTATGGAAAATCCGTAAAAATTCGGCGTGTTTAATTATAGGTTAGTAAAGGCGATCATGAGCCAGAAATGATGAGAGAAAATGGTTTATCCAAGTTGTCGAAAGGTGAAGTTCTTTGAAGAAAGAATTAACGTAGCTCAATGCCAAGCCTTTGACACCTTACCAGTTGACTCGAGGCCCAAATTCAAGGTCCTCATGTATTCAGAGTTGATTCACAGATAGAAAGAACTACTACAATGGACCCTATCAAAACGTAAAAAGAATCCTAATTGTCTGGAGGAACTGGTGTATCGAAAAGTAGCAAACAGTCCTCTTTCCAAAATTCGAATTTTAGATTTCCTCCCCTTGATTG